ACTAGTTTCAGAAGAAACTGCGCAAAAGCCTCCCTCAGAAGTTTTTCCAGCGCAGCTCCTCAGCAAGACATCCTTGTAGAAACTGTGGGGAATCTGATTCATTTAGTTTCATGGAAGCTTTTGGTCATTTGCCTCATAAGTGAGTACATTTTAAAAGGAAGAGAGCTGCTGGTTCCTGGCTTGCATGCAAGCTAAACACTTCCATCTGTAAATCTCTCTGAAAGTCACAGAGCAGCAGGAGAAACTTATACATGCCCACTGGCATTTCTGAAGACAACACATATAATTTCTCTAGGACCTCCAGGGGGAAGTTCAGAGCAATGCCAAAAGGAGCTGTCTCCAAGAGCTGCCTGTCAGTCACAAGGAAGCACTGATTTCAGCAATAAGGCCAGCAGGGAATTGGATGCAACTGAATCTGGAGACACGGAAGGAGATAATTTAAGAAGCAAAGCATAGATGTGCCTCTGCACAACAGGGGACCAGTTTGTGGGAAATAAGGAAAAAACAGGTTTCAAATGCCTCCCTTTGTTTTGTTCCTGTAAGATTTCCCCAAAGCTTTTGCGCTGTTAGATGTAGTACGTAAAGCAGAACTATTTGTTCTGTGAGGTGGAAAACCAAATGGACGTGTCTTCAAAACTGATAAGATTGTACTGCATGGGCAATTTCTGCTGTGCTCATGTTTTTTCATGATCAATAGGTTTTTATTGAAGGGCTCTCACTCCCTCATTACATCTTTCTTGGCATGAGGAATAATTCAGAAACATAATAAAAATGCTAAAGCAGTAAGGACCTTCAGCCAAACATTGTATGGATGGATATGCTTAAACCCCTTGTTCTGAACAAAGGCAGCTTTGTGCAAGTGGTTGGCTTTCAGAATAGCAGCCTGTGCAGTTCCAGCATCAGCAGGGTTCAAGGTGGAGGCTTAGTTACAGGTCTTATCTATACACCCAAGTTGCACCAAGTTAACAAAAGGTGGGATTTTTAAACCAATTTGCTCATAAGCCAGGGAGGGGTGTTCAGTTCTCTCCACTGGACCTGTCCACACTGAGTCAGCTACCAGGGGCCAAGGAGATTAATTAGCACTTTTGATCCAAGTTCCAGGAGCCAGTAAGAGACCCATGCAAAGCCTCCATAAAGGCTGCAGACTCTCCAAACGAATTTTGGAGGGGAGCAATGGGAGGGAGAGTTCACATCAAGAGATCTGCATCTTGAATACTGCCATGCAAGGCGTTAGAGAGAGGTTAAGAGTCCTCTGGGCAGAGACAGATGGAAATGATTGTAGCAAGGATGGGTCTGGTTTGGAAGATGAACATACAATAGATTATGAAAAGCAGACTGGAAACTCTGCCAAATGAGTTTATGGCCATGATAAACAGTTGGTCAGTGTGACATTTTTGTCTGCACAAAGGAAAGACGTGGAGCCCAAAATCTGCTGGATTTGAGAGATTTGAAGTTGGGGTTAAGTACTGGGGTGGAAGACTATAAGTACTTACAGGAAATATGGTTCCAAATTAACTTTATTGTGAAGTCCGTAGTACTCACAAGGGTTATTTCAGAGTAGTGGGTGGCTTTGAACTTCTCTATCACTATTTTCTATGATTATAAAATAGAAGAGGCAATGTAACCTTGAGGAAAGGAGCAAAGAATATCACCAGTGAGTTGTACCAATCTTTTCTAGACTGGTCTGCTAGAATATTAACGGGTTTTCAACCAGGCACTGACTAGAGAGCACTCGATGGAGCTTTTAGTAAAGAGATTCTCATCTTGGGAAAAGTGGGGTAAGAATGGTTCTGGACAACCAGAGGCCCCTCACCTTGCTCAAAACAAGCCACAAAATTCCGACTAGGAAGCCTCTACAGAAACTGGTTGAGCAGTGCTTGCACATATCCATCTAGCTCAGCCAAGCTCAACAAAAGGCAGGCTCATTAGCAGGCCATCACAAGGGGTGCAGACAGAAGTGCAGCTCCCAGCTGTAACTCAGAACATTTTCTGCAAAATATTGTGAGTTGCACTGTTACCCCAGGCTGAACAGAAGTTCACTGTTGGTTCCAGGGGGGTGGGGAATCTAGCTGCCTGTCCAGAACCTGCAGCTAGGTTCCCATAGCAGTGGCCAGGGCTCACTGTTTTCAGAATGGGAGGGGGGAAAGGTAGCCAAGGTGGCTCATTCTTGGGGCTCCTCAGCCACTGCTGAAGGGGGGGGATGCTGAAACAAACCCAAACTGAACTCCCTCCACTCTTTTTCCCCCCTCCCATTCTGAAAACAGTGACAGGCTGGGAGCCCCACAAACACAAGTTACAGAAGGTGCTATATTTTGAAACCTCTTCATCGCATACAATGAGGGCTCAGATTTTCACCTTCTCAGCCTTTTTTTAAGCTGTCTGCAGCCATGCACTTGTTTGGGCATGACTGTAAGCTACTTTCTGTGGCCAGATTGGGCAAAACTTGTCACTTCTGTCTGTACACAAGTAGTATCTAAAGCTGCTGAAGGACACCAGGAAGGGTTGGTAGATGCCTTGGATGAAAGCAAAGTTTTGGAACATGCAACACCCAATTTAGGAATTCTGCTACAAAAGCATGGAGTTCTGCAGATTTCTATCAGTGGCTGCAAACCCTGTGTTCCCAGCATGTTGGTGGTCAATGGATGTCTGGCTCAAGGCTCACTCCCAAGAGATGCCTGCAATGGTTTGATCCACACTATTACATGGTGCACTACCCTGAGGGCTGCTCTCCTCTTGCTCCTTGCATAATACCCATGGTGGCCCCAGCTCCAAGCCTTGTACAGACACAGCTATTACAGCCCTCCTTGATTCTTCAGGCTTACCAAGGCGCCAGAGCAAGCTTGCACCAACTACTCTCTTCTTTGGCCATCACCCTCTTCCCCACTGTCAGCCTCAGGCATATACACTCAGAGTTGCACGGTGAAGACCTTCCTTCCACCTGCCTTCAAATAGGGTAGTTCCACTTGTCCCAAGTAGACACAGCTGGTCTCTGACCATGCCTCAGTCTCTTCTCACTTGGTGCTGGGGCAATGACTCTGCATTGCCACCTTCTGAAGTTCCACATTCCCCCATGGCACATGTCCCTGGCAACAACAGTGTCTCTGCAAAGCAACTGCAAGACCCACTAGCTACTAGCAGGGAAGATGCTTTTCAGCTGCTCTCTCCCTAGCAGAGTACCCATGGCCACTGGTCTATGCTCCAGCCTTGCTGGAATAGGTCCCCCCGGCCACCCCACCGGGTCCCCTGACACTCCTAACCCCCTTGTTCTAATAGTCTCTTCTCTTCTCCCTAGAATGCACCCCTACAGCAGCATCCACTGTGTGGGTTTATAGCTTTCTCCCATACTGACAGGCCTTTCAGGGTCCCCAATAAACCTCCTGATCCAATCGAGAGCAGGGACCTAAGAAGCAACTCTTCCCTTTTTTTCCAGCTCTTCCTCTCAGTGTTCCTATCTCTCCTTGTGCAGTATCTAGACTGTACTGAGGTGCAGATCACTCCTGCTGAGTAAGAAATTCAGCACAGGCAGCAGCCAACAAGCCAGCTGAAAAGTCACCACTACTTCCTGCCTGCCAGCAGCCTGCCCAGGCTCTGTCTGGAAGAGCACATCAAAAGGCCTGCTCAGGCTCAGCCACCACCTCCTCCCTGCTTCCAGCCAGAACACAAGTAGAACACACTACTACCAACAATTCCCCTGCGCCATTTTTGGCCCTCTCAGAAACATCCAGCACAACCCCACCTGAGACTGACCCACATTCCCTCTCCCAGCTGATGTTAGTGACATCCACAGCACACCTGGTCCTACTAAGAACCAGCCAGAGCTCAGCTGAAACAGAACTAGAGGGAGCAGGTAAGTGCGGTTTTGTGGTATGGCCTAGGACAAAGGAAAGAGTTGTGTTAGTAGATGACTCAAGTATTTAGCTGGTCTCATGAGCAAGCATTATAGGGGTAAATGGGCTTTTATAGGAGCCTCTGAGCAAGGGTAGGATGCTAGAATAGTGGAGGGAAAAGGGCCTGAGACTCTGGTGTGGCAGTGATATGTCTTGGGCTGGGGAGATTGCCTAGCAACTTAAACCAAGCTTGGGTTGCTCTCTGCTTTACATCCTCTCTGTGTTCAGTTGCTTCTTTCAAAGCTCAGACCTGAGACTATGGCCCTATCTAATTTAGTGGCTTGCAGCCAATCCCTAGACAACATCCTTTTTATTTGACCCCCAAGTGAGTCTGTAGAATTACAGCACAGTTGAAATGTGCATAAGCTAGATGGACCCTTGGCTTGAACCAAAATAGAAGCAGCAATAACAGTTTACAAGGAGCCTCTTTTATGCCTTGTGAGATACTGAGTGGTTCAGCTTTCCCTAAGGACATATAAAGAGCCATGCTGACCTCCTTGTTCTCCTATAAACACTTCATAAATGGTAACAATTTAATAAACACTTTGCCTCTGAAAGGGCTTGATTCCCCAGAGGTATCTATTACCCTGTTGTTTCACTCAGACACAGGGCTAAAAATGGCATCCTGAGGGCCCATTTTATTGTGTCTTAATGATTTCTGCAGTACACGTGCTCCATTTCCATGTAAAGTGGCCAGCCCTGCACTTGGTGTTGCAGAGTCAAGGCTGGATTTCTTCTTTTTTGTTCATCCCCACAGCCCCCAGCAATAAAGATTTTGTTGGCCACATGCTGCTTTCAAGTTGTCTGATAAACTGGCCACTTTCTCTATCTGAAGATGGGGGGCATTGCTAACTTTAGACCAAATGGTATTGTTTGAGGACACTGATCCTTCCCTGTTCTGTAACAAGGCTGCAAACTGCTTACAAAGTGACTGTACCCCCAGGGCACCAAATCCCATCAAGTGAACATTGAATTGCCTCTCTTTGGGCATTCCCTGGACTCCACTGTTTGGCTGGATGATACCATGGCAACGTGATCTAACAGTGGCTGATTATGTGGCATCAGACTGCTGCAAGCTTCAGTGTCCTGCTCCTGGCCCTACCCAAGTACACAATGGCTTCAGGAAATGCAGGCTCACAAGCTGCAAACGACATAAAGCAGCTGCATGTAGGGTGACAATCCATAAGAGACTGGGGGACAGACAGACAGTAAAGCATAGGGGGATGGTGGGAAACAGCTGTGGCAGGTGGTCTTTTCAACCCAGTGGATCTGGCAAGGACAGGAAAAGGCTTGTAGTGAGACAGGAAGGGAAGAGATAGTTTTGGAACTAGTGTAGGCAAAGCAGCAGATGGGACTTAGACGGAGGCCACGTGGGTGAGGAAGGAAAGAGAAGCCAGTGAGGGCTCCAGAGCTGTTATGGAGAATACACGGGAATGAGGCAGGTCCTTCAAAAGAATGGATGTGAACAGCGGGTGCTGCCTCACAGCCTGTGGGATCCCACTGGCTTCAGAAAGGGGCATGGGGGATGGTGTGTGTCAGGGAAGGGGTTGACCCAAGAACATGTGTGCTGGACCTCCCTGGGTTCCTGCTTGTTGCTGGGCCCCAGCACGGCTAGATGGTGGAAATTAGGATGTGGAAAGTTCTGGTCTTGAACAGACACAGAGGTAGGATGGCTCTGGAGGCAGGCAAATACTCCCTCCAGTTTGGCTTAGGCTGAAAACAGAAGCCCATGCCTGCTGCCAGACTGAGGCTAGAAGTAGCCACAACCTACCTTTCCCTTCAGCTGTTCAGCTGCCTATGAAAGAGCTAAGGAGATGAGGCATTCTAGAGGTGACAAGGGGGAGACAGCTGAAAAAATGTGGTGGAGGACAGAGCTATCAGAACTGCTGCCCTGATTTCCCTGGGTTTTCCAGCCTAACAGTTCCACTTCTTTGTCAGGGCAGAAGGACGGGATGCTTGGTGCTGCTCTTTCTGTGCTTCTCCTATTCTCTGGTGGCTGGTGAGTGAAGCTTTGTCTGGGAACAAAGTGCTCTAGTCTGGCCCTTACAGTCCTCAATCAATGTCTTCAGGCTAGTGAAGGCTGGGCCCTGCTTGAGTCTCTCTCAACCCAGACTAGCATTTTGGACACCTGTGCCCTGGGGGAGGTAGAGCTGCGTGTGCTCAGTGTCACCTGACCAATAATGGCAAGGGAGAAAAGCAAGGGAGGAGAGGGGAGGCAGGGAGCCAAGAGATGGAGAGATTGAGGGAAGCCAAGGAAAAGATGGAATAATAATGAAGGAGAAGCAAAGATAAGTGAAGAGAAGGTAAAGCACAGGCCTGAGCCTCTCTCTATACTAGAGGACTGCCCTTTGTTTGCTTTGCAGGCTGTGGGACCCAGATCAGCTTGGCTCCCTCTAGCACAGCGCAGGAGTTTGTTGCTGTAGGTGAGTTCCCTTGGGTAGTGTCACTGCAGGACCTACAACACAAACATTTGGCCTTTGGCTGCATCTTGAGCGAGTATTGGATACTGAGCGCTGCATCCAGGCTTCAGAACAGGTGCATATCCTGCTGCTGTTCTATCGTACCTTCAGGGGAAGAGGGGAGCTTTCATGCCTTAAGGCCTGTACTTGTTCTCTGGAGAGCACATCCTGTCTGTGACCCTGTGTCAAAGGAAGTCAGTGGAATTGTCAAGGTACACTTTATTCCACATCCTGAATGACTTACCAGGCACTGCCTTGACAGACAGAGTTGGCTGCAGTAAAAGAACAGGATCTGAGCCAATAAGCAAATGAAACTCTCTCTAAATGTTGCATAGAAATGTCTGCTGCTGTGAGAATTTCCACTGAAATGGAGACAAGAGTTAAATACCCAGATGCCACACATTGCACACTTGCGTTGGGCAGAGCTGGAAGGAACCTCAGGGTCATCTGATCTATCTACATGAATGAATGTAGAAATGTGACTCCTGATATGTTACCCTGGGGTTTCCTTGGGTCCCCTCTCAGAATTGGGTCTCTTAGAAGATCTGCTCTGCTTTGGCAAGCCAGAGAGTGAGCACAATACATTCTTCTCATCCCTTCTCTGCCACTCAACATTAAATCAACTGAAACCTTTCAACCAGCCTCTTATTCTTGGCCACATTCTACCCTGCCCCTCCACACACAGCAGTAGCTAATATAGTCTCCCATCTAGGAACTGCTGTACTCCTCCCAATGAAGATGTGACGTGAACAATGTGCCAGTGTTCAGTCAACTGGATATATTCGAGATTTTGGGGTTGCTCTCCTGACACAGTTCTACCCAGCTGCAGTCCTCCCCTGTGATGAGGTGGCTCTGTGCTACTCTGGTGATGAAAAACTGGCTCAGGAGGCAGTGGGGGAATCTTTGTGTATCACAGAGCCACTAGAATATTTCCAGCTGTAACATGCCACTGTAATAGGCCTAAGGGAAGCAGGGTGGGTAGCTGATGAGCCCTTACTGCTGGAATAGCCCCTGCAGACTGAGAACTCTTTAGGCTGCTCTAAATTGTGTCTTGTGACTAGGCTGGTGCTAGGCCTCCCAAGATTAGGTAGAATGAAGGCACAACACAGCTTGAAAGCCTGCTCTGCCCTAGTCCTCTAATGCTTGAAAAGTCACAAAGCTGGCTTCCAATCTCCCACTGGCTTTATAGCAGTATAGCTGCCTTACCCAAATCTCTGCTTATTGAAGTCTCCTCTCCTTGCTCCCTCTCTCACCAGGCACCCAGCTTTAGCCATGGTTGGTATGACTGATCTGAATATGCAACAGAAGGTCCAGCTCCACTATTCAATCAAGACCATAATCCCCTATGAGGACTTTGATGAAATCACCCGGTACAACAACATTGCCCTTCTGAAGACAGCCACCCCGGTACAGTTCAGTGACACAGTTCAGCCCATCTGCTTCCCAGGCAGGAACCTCACTGCATCAGCCCTGGAGAACTGCTGGGTGTCAGGATGGCTCCACGCCAAGCAGGTAACCCCTTCATTGCCAGATAATAGGCACTGGAGGAGGGTGAATCCTAAGACTGCACTCAGAAGTCTGGGGTAGAGGGGAGTGGGGGGATGTTCAGGAGCTTGAATCTGTCCAAGACAATCAGACCTGCTAGCTCCTCCTGGCCAGGAGAGTAGGTAAGGTATGCTGCAGGAGAAGAGAGGTCACTGACCAATTAGTAGCAGGGGTGCTTCAAGAGGTCTGGATCCTGCTGATGGTGGGCATGATCCCCACTCCGCAGCAGGCATATTTGCACATTGTCCCAGAAGATGAAATGTGGTCCAGGCAGGAAATCTAATGGCTAAGAGCAGGGTAAGAGTAGCACTGTCTGTGAACCAGTGAGCAGTCTCAAGGGTGAGGTTTCCCTCATTTTCTCATGATCAGGCCACATTCCTGCAAGCAGCACTCCCATCAGTTTGTCCTAGGAAGGTTAAAGAGAGATGCATGCAGAGCTCAGTCAGATCTGCTTCAGATCAGCAAGCAGAGGCTGCAAGGAAATAAACCCAAGCTTGTGCCCTCTGCCTCTGTCTAAGATAGCAGTGCTCTTATCACAGCCTTTCCCAGTCTGACAACCCATGTTTCAAACCCAGGTCTCTTTTGTGACAATGCAGAAAAACACCCCTGGGTTCCTTACCCAGATAGGATCTAGATGAAGTAGCAGTGCTGCCTTTAGCTTACTGTCTTAATAGGAAAAACATGGCATAACATGCAACATAGTTGCGACTTCCATTTCCCAGAGACCACCTCTACCCTGGGCAGAAGCTAGCCTGGGGCATCTGATCCCTTTGCTTTCTTCACTCAGGCAGGAAACAGGGCTGCAGTAAGCTTTCTGAGAAAACTGTCAGTCCTGGATGTGGATCCTTGCCCCTTAAAGAGAATCATCACAACAGAGTGTTGCAGCCACAGAGAGTCTGACAACGTGACTGGATGCCTGGTAAGGAGCGTCTAGTGATCCAGGCACAGAACAAAGCGCGGGAACCTATCAGCTCCTGCTTCAGTCACTCAATAGCCCAGTCCACAATAGCAATTTGTTACACTGGGCTGTCCATGGCAAACCAGTGAAGGTATCTCACTCTGGCTTCAAAGGCACAAGCTTGACTCTCACTTCAGACCTGTGCCAAACAAAGGCTCTTCCTGGTCATTTGGGTGGGGAGCAAAGGGGCTGGATGTGCTGTTGGTCACGTTGCTGCCTAGTGTGCTGCTGGGTACAGACACTAGCATTCTCTAACCACACCAGCCCAATAGGCTGCTAGGCTCAGAAGGGCCTCTGTAGTGGAGTCATGAAGTCCAGGGCCTGCACCATGTTATTTTTAACCTGTCACCTCCCACCTCTGTCCTGCTTCTTTGCACAAGCACAGCTACTGGCCACCACTAAAGAAAGCTGAACTGGGTCCCCCCAATACCCTGTTAATGTTATCCCTCTCCAGCCAGCAGGTATTGCTGTTGGGGGAACATGGGATTCATCTTCCCCCACATGAAGCTAACCCAGGAAGCAAAAGACTAAGGTCAAGCCTTGAATCCAAGCCTCCCTAGACCTGATTCTAAGCCAGAGCTCAGTCTGCAGAAACACCATCTCTGTGCCCGTGACACTTGTGCCTTGCTCTTCATCAGCTATAAGCCTAACATGTAACACCATAAAGCAGATACTTCTTGGTAGAGCACTGCTGGTTTGACAGCTGAGATCTTCATTGCAGAACCATGCTATGCCAGTTTAGAACCTGCATATTAAAGTCTTGTTTCTGATGGAGACAGGATCCCATGGAAATCATGTATCCAAACTTCCTTTCTCCCAGTCTTGGAGGATTCCAAGACTGCTGTGATCTAGCCACTCTCCCATCTCATTCATGTCTGAATTCTGATTGTGATAGCATCCTGAACACTGATTTGGTCCTCTCCATGGAGTCATTTTTCTGCCTTTTCAGCATTATTGTTGCTGTCTCTTACAGCAAGATGGCCCCAGCAAGCCAGCCACCTGAACATGCCAAATGTGTGCAGAATGTTTGTATACTTAATGGAGTTTGTTTAAACTTGTGGAAGGAGTGAGGCCTTCTGTATTGCAAATGCCAGGACAATCTTGGGGCATCCCCCTTAAATCCATGGGCCTCGCTCACTTTGCATAGCCAAGCTGCCATAACCTCCTCACTTATCCTGATGAGTCCTTGTAGATGTCTTTCAATAGGATTTTCTATAAGAATTTCCCTGTGGATTTATCAGGGGTGAATGCCATGTTGAATGACTTTTCCAAGGCCCCTCAGGTCAAAATATGCAGAAGGGCTTACACTGGTTGAAACTGGGGCCTAAGGAGCTGCCTTCTGGTTGTTTAATTTGAAGCACATAGCAACATGGAACAGCAAGGCTCTTAATTTCTGTCAGCCTAAGGAAAACCGTTAGTCCCTGGAATTAGTGCTGGCTTGATGACAAAGTAGACAGAGTAACAGGTTGATGTGTTCTGCTTTCCACCCACTTCAGTGGGATTCATGGAGAGGAATCCATAGGACACAAACAGGGCCATGTTCTGTATAGGATACATTCTGTATAGGATATGGACTTTTGTGACTTAAGCTTGCTTTTTGTCTTTCAAAGGGAGACTCGGGAAACCCAGTCATGTGCCAGCCTAAGGGGACCAAAAGATGGGTTCTCAGTGGAGTGCTCAGTGAGGGCGGCATGAGATGCTATGGACCATTTCTGTACACCAAACTGTCCTACTACAGTGACTGGATTTCAGCCACAACAAAGAAAGCAGGAACCGCAATGTATCACACTTTTGCCAGAGGCCATGCTGCTTCCCCAGCTCCCACAGAGTATTTGCAAGGGTCCAACTATAGCCAAGGAAAGCAGCAACAGAAAGGCAGCAAGTCCTCCCAGGTTGGATTAGACAGGTCCAAAAGCAAGTCTGCTCCTTTGTACTATGACTATTACAGTGGGGAAGTGCTCCCCATTCCTGATGGGAGCTGCTATCTGCCTTATCCCACCCAGGACACCATTGCCATTTTCCTTCTGCTTTGCCTTCTGTTTTATTAGACAAGAGATCAAACTACAAAAGCAGCCCCCCTAGGGCCAGTACTCAGGGAACACTCTTACCCACATCTGCTACTGCTGAGAGTACCTATGTAGCATCATCCATGTGCATCAATGACCTGTCCTCACAGCAATGCCCCAGGTATCTGTCTGTCACTCCACCTTGGGAACTCACTGAAGGCTATATTAAACTTTTAAATTCTCCCAAGAAATCTTCCTGATTCCTTTTTTTTGCATTAAATGATCACAAGGCTCAACCCAGAGAGGGCAGTTCATGTAAACATGTCAGATATGATCATCAGAGAATAACTGGTCATCAAGATAGCTGACAGGAAAGGAAATATGAAGAGCAAAGCTGATTCAGAACTTTGAAGGCATTTGTACACATGCTTGCACCGGGTACTTTTAAAAGCACCCAGCACCGCAGTGCATACAATTTTATAAGTGGCGAAACACGTGTCAACACTGAGAAAATGGCAGTGGTGCGCTTTTGAATTAAAACACATCAGAGGTGTTTTAGTTCAAAAGTGCACTGCTGCCATTTTCCGCATACTGACACATTTCACTGCTTATATAACTGCACGTGCTTCAGTGAAGTGCGTGTCAGCTCGCGTGTAGAGCAGACTCAGTTAATCAAGTCTGCTCCGACCTGCCAGATCTCTGGAGCATTGCAGGACAAAAAGTATGTGTATAAATGCCCTGAGAGCCCAGCAAGGAAACCAAGTGACAGAGGCCAGTAGAATCCAACTTATCAGATAAATGGGACTTGACCAAATAGAGAACTTCCAACCCCGGGGCAGAGGGCAGGAAGGCGGTTGCTTTATTATTTGTGCAGAAATGGTTCCATCTCATGCTGCAGTGCAAACGGCTCTGTATTAATCTGTTTGATATCTCTGCATTCCAAGGGGCTGGCTCTTAGCTACATCTCTCACTGGCTACCTTGCAATGTAAGACAAGTTCTTGGCGGCTTACTAGCCATCTTGACCTTGTTCCAAGCTCTGTGGTAGCTTTGCAAAGACGCCTGCAGAAGTAAACATAAAAAAGAAGATATAGTAGTACAGAAACAAACTGCCATGAGGGATACTATCTGGCATGCTACCTACTGTATACGTGTATATGTATGTCAAGCATGTACTTTTACAATCTCAAGCTATCATTTGCTCCCATTGGTTTTCTGTGAATACTATGTGGAAAACTTTGAGATGCCACACAGCTGTCCTGTAGGAGCCAAACACTACTTGCAGCATGGCATATATGTTTTGCCTTTTGTCTTTCATGTGCTATTGCATTTACAGTCTCTGTAGCCACATAATAACAAGATTTAGCTATATGGAAATACCGTCACGGAAATAAATGGGAAGCTGTTTCTCTTGTCTAGTGAATCCCTGCTTCTTTTCAGCTCCCAGTACAGCTGATAAGACTTGCATTATACACTATTTATATAGCAATGCTCTGTACTCCAGGTTTGTTCAGTATGCCATGTAGCTGGTTTAAATAAAAGGTGGAAGGGTTATGTGATAAGTGAGTTTGTGCTGTTGTCAGACAGTTCTATACGTGAGCCCATGAACTCTGAGCAAGTTTGCACTCAGAGCTAACCTTCATAACACATAACACTTGCTATGAGGGATTAATCCAGAACCCTAAATCCAGGCTGACTTGAGCCTGGAGAAAAGCTGGATCCAGTTGCAAGTGTGTATTTTAGCTTTACTGTCATAGTATTATCACAGCAGCTAAAAGCTTACCATACACCAGGACACTGTTGTGCTAGGTGCTGCACAAACAATGAACAGAAGGATGACTCTTGCCTCAATGGCTTTCCAGTGTAAGTACACAGGTCAGGCCCATCGCTGCATGTTGATGAGCAGAGGTGTAAAAATGTAAGACTACACTATAAGCACTAGAAGACACTCAGAACTTGCCATGGCAATTCTGTTTCTTCACACTACCATATATTTGCATTTAGTTTACACTGTGGAGGAGGTGGCATTTCAACACAGAGAGCACCTACAGATGTGCAGCAAGGCTGCTCCAACGTGCTGTAATTACAGCACATCAGAGCAGACTCAATTAATTGAGTCTGCTGTAGCGTGTTAATTACTGTGCTCCAGCAGACTCCAGGGTCATGTGTATTAGCATCCCCTCTGCTCTTTTTCAGCAGAGACATGTGACCCTCCAGGCACTTTAACTAGAGGGGCTCTCAGAGCCGCTCTAATTAAAACACTCTCCCCCTCTTCCTGGAGCACATCTATAAATGCCCAGAGATGCCCTTGAGCTCTAGGCATTAAATGTGTTTCCTACTATTATTTAATTTATACTACTTTCTTTCATAATGAAAGCCTGGGCCTGGGGTCAGAAGCTTCAGGACACTCCCTATCTTTACTACAAAAGTGCAAGTCACAGCCTTCCTTCCTGTGTCTCAGTTCCTTCATTAGTGAACTAGGGGTAATAATGCACCATAAGGTTTAATTAATGTTTGCAAAGCGCTTTGAGATCATCAGAGGATCAGGATCAGAAAGCAGGTCAAAACATTCTGAAACAATCATTTAGGGCTCAAAGGGAACCAAATGGGCTGCACATGCAGAAGTGAGAACAGAGGCAGATCTGTGTTGGTTCCCCTTGAGGGGAGGTTTGCATTGCTGCGCTTTTACATTGTAAACATGTTGGTATAACAGCAACTTGATAATGCTTCCTGTTAACATTGCAGTAGATGTAACCCATCCTAAAACTCCTTGGTTTTCAGTCTCAGAGCTTAATTGTTAGAAAAGCTTTGGCCTCTATCCTCTGAATAGGAAGCAATAAGGACTGTGTTAACAGGACCTCAAGTTATTCTATTATACAGTAGTGAAAACCACAGCTAAAATTTCCCACTTTGTGCTGGTTTCTACAAAACAAAAGGGCCCTTTACATAAACTATATGTACAGATATGGACCCTCTGGAAATCAAATCCCAACTGCCTATAGGCCAGGACACAGGTACAACCCATGCCCTGCTCTAAACTCAGGAAGAGCTGGTCCTTCTGTACCTCAGCAATCTCCACCTTCCTCTCCCAGGTCTTAATACTGTTTTCCAGGTCATACAGGGCCATCTTCTCATTGACATACTTAAGGATGGGGGGGACTCTGTAATCTGACAGCTGCTTCTGTAGCTTCTTATTCAGACACTCAACTTTGGCTTGTTCCTGAGAGAGAAAAAGAGATACAAGACAGATGGAATCAGTGGGTGATCAGTGCTCAGAGGGGTCTGGCCCCCTCAGACCTGGTGATCGGTGCTCAGAGGGGAATGGCCACTTAATTATCTCTGAAAAACAACCAAACTCCCTAACACTAACTGCAGAGTGACTCAGGTGGACAGCATGATGTTTCTATTAGCAATTCCATTTCCTGACTGCCTGGGGCAACAGGAATCTTCATGAACAAACACTTTGTAGCATCTGGTTGCTATGGCTCTGCTTTATGTGCACCTGTCTTATGGGATTGTGCTACAACTTCTTAGTGCCCTGGCTGGGGACGGCAGGGTCTTGCCTTTGAAAAGTGCAAGGAAAGTAAAAGTAAGGAAGCCCTGGCCAGTCCTGTCAAGTTGGGTGCCTAAAAGTAGGGTCCAAGATCCTTATGGGAGAACCTTATGTGGCTTGCATTTCAGAGCTGCAGAACACTCTTTAATCCTCCTGACTTCCGCA